GCGCGCGCGCGCGCGCGGCGACGGCGATGGCGTCGTTGAGAGATTTTTGATCGCGACGAGGGGTGGGGGGGGTCGAGCGGGCGAGAGGGCGGGTGGATGGGCGGGTGGACCCGGGCGAGGGCGGCGAGGGCGGCGAGGGCGCGGCGGCGGCGGCGGCGGCGCGCGCGCGGAGGATGCCGGACGATGGACGGTGGGGAGAGGCGTTGATGGTGTGACGTGATCGGTGACGCGCGTCGATGTGCGCTCGAGCTCGGACTGACTTTGGATGCTCGTTCGCGCGCAGGGCGTGTTCGGAGACGCCGAGGAGGAACGCTCGGCGAAGGAGGCGCGGCGGGCGCGGGAGGACGCGCAGTTGGAGATGATGCGGCAGATGCAGATGCAGATGCAAAAAATGCAGCAACAACAACAAGGGCCGGAGGATGATGAGTTGAGCGCGCTCGAGCGGTTCTGCACGGACGTCACGGATGAGGCAAAGAGAGGGTTGCTCGATCCGCTCGTCGGTCGCGAGGAGGAGGTGCGACGATTGATTCACATTCTCTGCCGACGGACGAAGAACAACCCGGTGTTGCTCGGTCAATCTGGGGTCGGTAAGACGGCTATCGTTGAGGGTTTGGCTCAGCGCATCGTGAACGACGACGTCCCGCACGCCCTTCGCGGCGCGCGTTTGCTCGAGGTCGATTTGGGCGCCGTCGGCGCCGGATGCCAAATGCCGGGTGAGTTCGAGGAGCGTCTCACCATCATAGTTCAAGAGGTCGTCGACGCGAGCGCCAAGGGACCGGTCGTGCTTTTTATCGATGACATTCACAACCTGTGCCCGGCGCCGCCGATGAACAACAACGGCGCGGCGATTCTCAAGCCGGCGCTCGGCAGAGGTTTGCTTCGCTGCGTCGGCGCCACGTCCGCGGACAAGTTCAAGAAGACGATCGAGCAAGACGCCGCCCTCGAGCGACGTTTCCAGGTGGTCACGGTCGAAGAACCGAGCGTTGACGACACGGTGAGCATCTTGCGCGGTCTTCGCCCGAGATACGAGCAGCACCACAGCATCGCCATTTCTGAAGGCGCTCTGTTGGCCTCGGCGCAGCTCTCGGCGCGTTACGTCTCCGGTCGTCAACTGCCGGACAAGGCGATCGATTTACTCGACGAAGCCGCCGCCGCCGTTCGAATGTCGAAGACGAGCAAGCCGGATGGTCTCGACATGGCCGACCGTCGCATCGCGCAGCTTCAAAAGGAGCGCGAGCAACTCTTGCGCAAAAACGCGAGCGAGCTCACCAAGGCTGGCACCTCTAACATCGCCGCCGCGGAGCTCCAGAAGATTGCGCATTCGCTCTCCATTGAGAAGAAGGGTCGCAAGGAAATGCAAGTCAAGTTTGAAACGGAGCGTCGCGTTCAAGACGAGTATCGTCGCGCGTTCGCGAACAACTCTTTCATCAAGCGCAAGGTTGAAAATGCCAAGATGAAGATCGAGCAAGCATCTAAAGCCGAGCCAGGTTCTGTGCTCGCAGCCGAGCTCACTCGAGCCGAGGCCGAGCTCAAGAAGCTTGAACAACAAATGAGAGTGACGCAAGATGAGCTCACCAACGCGGAAGCGGGTGTGCTCGAGCTCAAGGATGGCGGCGCCATGATACGCGAGGAAGTCACGGATAACGACGTCGCCGCCGTCGTCAGCCGATGGACCGGTGTTCCGGTGGCCAAGCTCGTGTCCAGCGAGAAGGCGAAGTTACTTCAACTCGAATCTGAGCTTCATCAGCGTGTCATCGGCCAAGAAGCCGCTGTCACGTCCGTCGCGGAGGCGGTGCAACGCTCACGCGCCGATCTCGCTGATCCCAACGGGCCGGTCGCCTCCTTCATGTTCCTCGGCCCCACGGGTGTCGGTAAGACGGAGCTCGCCAAGGCGTTGGCTAACTACCTGTTCAACTCTGATACCGCGCTCGTGCGTCTCGACATGAGCGAGTACATGGAGAAGCACTCCGTCGCTCGTTTGATCGGCGCTCCGCCGGGTTACGTGGGTTATGACGAGGGTGGCATGCTCACAGACGCCGTTCGTCAAAAGCCGTACTCCGTGGTGTTGTTTGATGAGATTGAGAAGGCGCACGTCGACGTTTTCAACGTTCTCTTGCAGCTCCTCGATGAAGGTCACGTGACAGACACTCAAGGACGCAACGTGTCCTTCCGCAACTGCCTCATCATCATGACCTCTAACTTGGGATCGGACGAAATCTCCTACGCCAACAAGCGACGCAACAAGGTGAACGTCAAGGATGCGGTGATGCAACACGTCCGCTCGCACTTCCGGCCTGAATTCGTGAACCGTATCGATGAGTTCATCGTCTTTGAGCCCCTCACGCACGCGCAAATCGAGGAAATTGTCCAGCTGCAAACCAAGAAGTTGTCGCAGCGCATCGAAGGACAGCGAATGAACCTTTCGTTGGACAAGAGCGCGGTCGAACACTTGGCTCGCATGGGTTACGATCCTGCGTACGGGGCACGTCCCGTGCGTCGCGCCATTCAGCGTGAACTCATCCAGCCGCTTGCCAACGCGATGCTCCGAGGCGTGTTCAACGAGGACGACACCATTCTCGTCACCGCCGACCGCGAAGGTATCTGCTTGTCGAATGGCCCAAAAATCGTGCGTGAATTGTACGACGTGCACGCTGAGGATTCGGAGGACGAGTCCGCGGTGTCGTCCAGTGCTCCGCGCACCAACGGCTTCAACGGCGTCATACACAGTTTCAATGGTATGATGTAGGCACTCGCAGTAGATGATCCGCAAAACTGATGTTGTTAAATTCTTTCTCATTAAAAAAGTTGTCGCACACGATTCGCTTGCGCTCGAGTTCGTCGTTAGTCGATATAAATCAGTCTCGTGTCAACCGCGTAAAATGCAGTCTTAGAGACGAGACGTCACTTGTCGACTTTGGACTTCGCGCGCACACGTGGAGCGCTCACAATCTTGATGCATGAGTAATCTAGAACTACTACTCATGACGCTTACAGCTCGGCGTTGGTGTCCGGAGCCTTGATAAGGTCTTTGAGAAGCTTTTGCGCTCGCGCGAGCACCGCTTGGCGCTTCTTCCACGCTTGCGTTTTCGTGTTGAACTCCTTCGTGGCCGCCTTCATCTCCTTTTTGATTTCGGCGGTCTCGGTTTCCTTCTCTTTGAGCTCAGACTTGAGTTCAGCCTTGGACTTGCCGTCCATCTTGTTCAAGAACTCAATCTCGTTCTTCGCGCAGCCCTTCTTCGTGACTGCATCGCACAGCGGCTTGTCCAAGGTTTTCGTCACGAACTTCTTCAGTTCGTCGTAATCCCGTCCACCTTGGTAGTCCTTACCCTTCTTATCACCCGCCGTGTAATACTTAATCGTCGGGTACCCCTGTACGCCGACCTTGTTGCACGTTCCGCTGCCTTCCGCCGTGCAGTCCACGTCCGCGATGATCACGCTCGCGCTGTCCTTGTAATCCGCTCCAAGTCGATCCCAAGCTGGTTTCATCGACTTACAGTGGCCTCACCTACGTCATGATTAAAAAATCATCGTCAGTCGCTCATCACGCCACGTCTTTCGTTGTCTCTCGCGCTAGCGACGGACGATTCAGTCAGATCGCATCGAACACGATCGGCTGTCTCGCGCGCGTTTCAGCGCCCCACTCGCCCCGGAAACGCGCATACATCGAGTGAAAACACGCATCGGCACGATGCGCACGTACCAAGGCGCCAGAAACTTCACAAAGGCGTGTTTTCCGGAGTTTAAAACGGCCGAGTCGAAGTTCTTATCCGTGGCCAAGAACGCGCTCGCTTCCGCGGACGACGCGAAGAGCGCCGCGATGGCGGCGACGACGAGGGCGAACGAACGCGCCATGTCGTCTTTTGCGTGCGTCTCGCGAGTTTCGGTCGAACAATAGAGGTTCGAACGACGCTCAGAGGCGGCGCAAAGTGCCGATCAGATTGGTGATGATCGCCAGGAGAGTTGGTTAGGACGGACCGCGGACGATTCGCGCGGCGACGCTCACGGGGCATTCGATGGGTTCTCGATGCACTCGCCAGGAAAGAATACAGTTCGTGAACAAAACGAGCGCGTTCGAAGACGCAAAGCTAGGGTGTGGTGACGTCGACGGGTCGGACGCCGCCGCCGAAGCGCTCTCTGAATCGAAAGCTCAACACGTCGTGGTGTTGCGCCCTCTCTCCCGTGGCCGCGGTGAAACCGACCCAGGCGCGCCCGGCGTCTAAATCTAAAAACGCACCGAGATTGATGGGCACCGTGAGCGCGGGCTCGGCGAGGTCGTCCACGTACACCTTCATCGTCCCCAAGCCGTGGTGATAGTTTCTGAGCGAGAGCAAGTGCGCGCCCGAACGAAAACTCTTGTGCGTCGCGTCCTCGGCGATGAAATCCGGATCGTACACCACTCTAACGACGTGTCGCTCACCGTCTGAGAGATCCGGAACGCTCACGCTCGTCCCGATCGCGGCGTGATGCGACGCGAGCGTCGGCGCCGTCGCCCCGCGCGTGAGCACCGCCACGTGATTATTATACGGATCCCTCGCGTCCGCGTCGTGATGGGTGTCGAACTCCACCACCACACAATTCGTCATCCCACCGTATCCCAACTGGTTCCCACCACCCCCCAACGCCCTCGCGTCCGCGTTTTGTATCACGAACGCCATGCCGTCGCCGCCCCGCGCGCACGCTCCGCCCGCGTCCCGCGTCTTACACGTCTTCGTCTCACCCTCGCTCCGCATCGCGATCGCGAACTCGGCGACGAATCCACCGATCACGAGCTGTTTCTTCTCAGCGAACGCGCTCCCGGCGCTCCGCGCGCGCGCCGGCGCGATTCTGAGCGCGACCGCGTCGTCGGTTGGATTTCTTCGCGCCGGTGCCGCCGCGCCCTGGAGCGTCCAGTTCGCCTCGCCGTCGAACGTTCGCGCGACGACGTCCGCGCGCGCCGCGCTCGCGAGCGCGACGCCGACGCACAGGAGCGCGAGCGCGGGCGAACGTCGCATGATGACGCGTCTTCGTCACTCGTACGCCCGCGGCTCCGTCTGCGGTCATGCTCGACGACGACGACGACGACGACGACGACGACGACGACGACGACGCGCTCGCGCGTGCGCTCGCGCGGGCGCTCGACGCGGTGGACGAGCGCGCGACGCTCGAACACGTCCGGCGCTTGGACGTCGAGCGCGAGGCGTGGACGACGCGCGGTACCGACCGACGGTTGAACTCGACGACGACGCGACGACGCGCGGAGAACGCGCTGCGCGCGGAGCGAGGCGGGATAGCGTTGACGCACGACGGCGTGCGAGCGATCGCGCGGTGGTGTCGGCGGCGGGCGATGGAAGACGGACGGCCGGCGCGCGGCTGGCGAGGGATGCGCGCGGACGACGAGGCGACGGCAAAGGCGGCGCTGTGCGCGAACGGCGATCACGCGAGCGCGTGGAGCGTGCGACGGCGATACTGCGAAGGGCGTGGTCGTTTATATGTAGACGCTCGTGCTCGTGGGGGCGAGGAAAAGTGGTTTGAGGAGGTGGTGAGACCCGAGCTCGCGTTCGTGCGCTTCGTGCAGAGTCGATTTCCAAAGGCGCCGAGCGCGTGGGCGCATCGAAGGTGGTTGCTCGCGCGCACGATGCGGTTCGGCGTCGAGCTCGGTGAGGACGTGTACAATTGTGAAATCCAGGCGTGTGACGCGGCAATCGCGAGGAAGAAGTCGAATTACGCCGCGTGGTCGCACCGCGCGTGGATTATTCAAATAATGGGCGCCGACTCGTGCGCCGTGCAAACGGCGCTCCGGGCGAGTGAATCGCTCGCGCGGCGAGGCGTGAGCGATCATGGGGCGTTACATTATCGATCGCGCATCATCGAGCGGTATCTCGAACTCAGACCGTCGGACGCATCGAAAGTCTTCACTCGTGAACTTGAGTTTGTTCGCGAGCTCATCGACGCGTTCCCAGGACACGAGACGCTGTGGATGCACTATAGGTACGCGTTCGCGGAGGCGGTGAAACGAAACAAATTACTCGCATCGGATGCCGACTTTTTGGCGACCACAAAGCGATTCTGCGAAAAGAGACGCGATATCACCGAGGCGTCTCGTGTGGATCCATCGTGGGCAGAACATGCGGCGGCTTCGGAATACCGATTAGCGAACGCCCTCGACGTGTGGACGACACTCGTGGTCAAGCGCGCGCAAGGCCGAAGAGTGCACGTGAGTCGAGAGTCTCCGAACGAAGGATTCACGGTCGATAGCGATTAGAAGTAGAAACTATTGAACAATCAACAATCAACAATCAAATCAAGGTTATACCATCAAGAATGGCTGTTTACAGCGTGATTGTCGTCGCGGCGTCTATTGAGCGAATGCGGTGACGGCCTCGCGAAGGAGCTTGGGCTTATAACCAATCACTTCGTCGACTTCGCGGCCTTTCTTGTAAAACTTAAACGTCGGCATGGCTTCGATGCCGAGCTCTTTGCTGAGGGGCGCCAAATCAGCGTGCGCGGTGTCGAATTTCGCAAAGACCAGATCTGGGAACTGGTCGATGAGTTTATCAACCTCCGGAGCGATTTGTCGGCATTTACCACACCAGCTCGCCATGAAATCGACGATCACGGGATTTGGTCCATTGATGAGGGCATCGAAATCGGTGCGAGAAGCGATCGGCGTGAGCTTGGCTGCGAAGTCGCTTGACGATGCCGAGCTCGACGAGCTCGACGCCGGCGTCTTGCCTGCGTGCGCCTCAAAGTACTCCTTGGACTTTTCTGGATCACCGACCATCGTCGGATCCCCCGGGGTCCAACCCGCGGGACACACTTCGCCGTGCTCCTTTGTGTACTGAATCGCTCGCAAGAGGCGCAGCGTCTCGTCGACGCTTCGACCGACCGGCAAGCTATTTACCGTGATCTGCTGCACCACACCCTCATCATCGATGATGAACAA